TATGCAAACAAAAATAAAGTTATGCAAGTATATAGTCTACATCATATTATTTAACTGTTTACACCAGGGATCGTCAATTAATCGCATTAGTCTGACGATCCCTGGTTTAAACTAGGGATTGTCAGTCTAATGCGGTTCTTATAATATAAATATGAAGCCCTTTAGCTCCATGCATAAATATTAACATAATATTAAAACTTCGCATTAGTTCTATACTATTAGAAAAAACACACATAAAATATATTTTCTAATATAGGGTAGCCCTTTAATAAAGGTTAAAGGGTTAGGTAAAAATTGCTTGATCATCGAGTTGGTGTAACGAATGGACAGTAAATATTTCTTCGAAAGAGTTTAGCCATCTTTTTAAAATGTTAAAACATTAAGAAAATCTGTTAATTGTTTTATTTTAGCATATTTTTTTCACAAAAAATGTGGCTTAAGTTGTGTTATTTGCAAAAAAATTTACATAAATCCCCTTGATAATTCCTTATAAACTTTCATACTTTTTTTACAAATTGAAGAGAACGCTTAGTGCATCAGCTGCTTTAAATTTACAGCATGGTTTATTGAAAGGTAAGTCAAGAGTTGTAGTTTCAAAATCATTTTTACCAATTTCTAGAAATATGAAAACTGCTATCAAAAAAACATTAAAATATTAAAATATACATTGAAAGTTTGCTGCAAATACAATATTTATAAAAAAAGTTAGAATTAGGCGTCATAAGCTGCGTGCTCAAAAAAAATTAAAGATTGAATGAACAGTTTATCTGACTGGTAGTTTCGGATTATCTACAAAACATGAAGTTTTATCAGTATTAATTAGTAAGGAAAAATTAAAGTTTAAAACCAGCTACTGGTGTTTATTTTTATAACATGCCAAGATAAGATTTGGTACAAATTTATTTTTATTATGAGCTAGTTTAAAATTTTTTTTGATGTAAATTGAATTAAATTTACATTTTGTTTTATCTAAATATTATGCTATTGCTTGCTAAATTGATTTCAAAAAACTAATTTATTTTAAACTCTTTTTTTTAAACATAAGGTTTTCGACTTTTTGTTTTGCCATTTTATATATTACAATGCACATAAAATTCAACTTAATAACTGGAGCAGGAAAAAGACTTTGTTTTAATGTCGAGCACCGTGACACAGTTTCATCATTTGTACAAAGCTTTTACAAGAATATATAGTATATACTGAGAACTAAAGTGATTTATAAAAAAAATATAAAGGATGAAAATAAAATCAGTTTTTATCGTGAATAAATTTAAAAAAATTTGAGAAAATATGATTGCTTTAATGACTGTATGATAAAAAGTGATTATTGTCATAAAATATAATTTTTTAAATTTTATTTTCATATAATAACATGGTAAATTAAAGGTTTCGCATTTTTTTTTTTTTTTTATAAATAATTTTATTTGATAGATCTATTTTAAACGAAACTTTTATCACAAAACAAATCAAAACCTGTGTGTGATAAATTTTGATTTTATTTTTTAATATTTTTTTTTAGTAAATATGTATATTTCGTTGTTCACATAAAAATAAATAATAAAACTACAACGAAACTTTTACGTTACACAAAGAAAATATATAAAACAGACAGGGGCTCAAAGGAGATACGGATGATTGGTGTCATCACAATCTTTTGATAGAGCCCCTTTAACAATAACATTTAAAGCCCACATGGCTTGTTTACAATAAAATATTTTTTCTGAAAAATACCTGAAGAATATACGTTAAAGAACTCTCTTGCAATATAAATATTAAAATCTTTAGTCTAACAAATTTAAAATAAATATGCTTTAACATAAGTAATATATATATGCTTTAACATAATATATATAATGCTTTAACATAAGTAATATATATATATATATATATATATATATATATATATATATATATATATATATATATATATATATATATATATATATATATATATATATATATATATATATATATATATATATATATATATATATAGAAGTATATAAATATATACACATACATACATACATACATACACACACACACACACACACACACACACACACACACACACACACACAAACACACTTGGGTAATTAAAAGAACACTTAATTAAAGCAAGCAATCAATAATAACAACTTAAAAATAAAAAAAATAATAGCAATTTAAAAAACAACCAACCAATAAAAAAAAAAAACTATTCTTGCGACAATGTTGAGTAGTTAAATGATTCTGAAGGCTGAGTTGAGTTGTCACTTGGGCAAGGCCGACGAGAGGGAGGGGCATACGTACCCCGGGCGCTGATGCCCGGGATACGTATAGATGTTAGGGGTCTCAAAAGACGAAGTAAGGTTTATTAAAGGACTACTACATATTAGAAAATATATTTTATGTGTGATTATAGTTCTTTTATTCTATTGTTTATACTCTATACTAATGTTAAACTCTATACTAATGTTAGCTTTGTTGCCAGGCAACAACAAAACGTTCAGAACCAACCATTGACTTTTAAAATTTTTTATGCTTTGTAATTTTCACATAATATTTTATTGTAATTCTAAAATGCTTGAAAGTAATACTTTCTGAATTCAATAAAATATTAATAACGGTTTTCACATTAATGGATTATTAAGTTTAAAGTAGAAAGTTGTGACTGTTTTTCAGTTTAAATAAGTCTACTCATTTATTTATAACTTTTTTTAATTTTTTTTTATTTTTAAATAAAAAAAAATAAAAAAGGGCATCAATAAAGTACGTACGCAGTAAAACCATTGATTTAGGATTCTCCCTCCCCCCTTGTACAAACCTGTACGCTTTCGTAGACCCCCCCCCCCCCGTTTGGGAAACTTCCTCCCCCATACCTGCGTACGTACTTTATGGATGGCCCCTAATACAACATTTTTTCTGACAGATAAGTGGTTATTACAATGTTAAAAATAAATCATATGACAAATTATTTTTAACATTTATATATTAACATTATTTTTAACAGATATTTAACGAGTAAATATCTTTTCACAGTAAGTCAATCATTTCTAACAGAGTTTAGTATAACGAAAAATGCATTTAATAAATTGTTTAAACCAGGCATCAGCAACCTATTAAAAAAGAGCCAAAAGTTGCAATTTAGAAAGTTTAATTCTGCTGTGCAAACAAAAAAGTTTTATGTAAGTACGTGGTCTACATTATTATTTAAACATTTACACCAGGAGTCGGCAACCTGCGCCTTGCAAACCTTATGTGGTTCTTTCGACGTCAAGATGCAGTCCTTTAGCTCCATGCACAAGTAATAATGTAATATTGAAATAAGATGTCGGTAGCACTTTAAAAACTGAATTTTTAAAGAGCTACCAACATCTTCATATCAAATACTTATTCAAACTATCTACCGAATCTTTATTTCAATATTATATTAATATTTGTGCATGGAGCTAAAGAACCGCATCAACCGCAGGTTGCCGACCTATACTATAAACGTTTAAATAATATATAGTAGACCAAGTACTTACATAAATCTTTTTTGTTTGCTTAGCAGACTAACCAACAACAACTTTAAAAAAATAATAGTGTTACGAGTAAATATCTCGTGTCTGCTTATTTAGTTCTGTACGTGTCGGATCTTAAAAACGTTACAAAACTTTTCTTTTTTAAAGCAACTAAATTTATTAAAAAAAGTAACATTCTTGACTTCAACTTGTCTTGACCTACTCGCTGTCAATAAATTTGATTAGGTTTGAGGGAGCTATCGGCTTAGTAATTAACTTTATATTATTTCCTAAGTAAAAAAAATTACCAATACTTTAAAATAAAAAATTTAGTTTTAATTATATTTAAAATGGTCAGTTATTAAATCCCATCAAATGCATCAGTTATTAAGTCCCATCAAACCTATCAAAATATATATACTATTTTGTTTATTTTTGAATTAGTTACAAAATCTTCTAAAAATTGATTAGACATAAAAATGTATAAATATGCTTTTGCCAAAAGTCATTTCTTAAAAAAAAATAGTTGCGTTCAAAACTCGATCACTATTTAAAAGCCTTGTCAAATAAAATGCCTGTGCTATTACAATAACCTTTAAAAATAACTATGTATAAAAAAACGTGTTTACTAGGTATTAATAGATATACTTCATTTTTCCAATACATTGTAGCGTATTTTTCCAATACATTGTAGAGCATAAGATATATAGCACAAATATTAAAAAGATGCGTAGCTCATTGCGTGGTATTGTAAAAGTGTTTCTTTTACAATACTACATAATACACACTTTTATAATACCACAAATATTTAAGTGTTAAAAATTTGTGGTATCGTAAAAGTGAATCCGAGAATCCTGATAAAATACTTATAAGATAATTTTTTGAGAAGCAGAGGCGTTAGAAAATTATTTTTGGAACAAGATGCTTACATGAATGAATATGAATCCAATAAAATCAAAATAAACATTTTAGAGGGAAGTATATAAAAAACGGCCTAAAGTAAAGAAAGAAAAAGTTATTTAAAATTTAGATATTTAAGTTACGCATCTTTTCAATATTTGCGCTACTTATCTCAAGCCCCTAAACTACAATGTATTAGAAAAATGAAGTTTTGGAGATTTTTTATCAAGAATGATGAATTTCATTATAGGAAACATGTTATTATATTTTAAAGTAAAGCGCTACACCTTATTTGTATGTTCAATATAATATATATGGAACCCATCTGCATCTTTAAAATTAATATTTGATAGTAAAAATTACAGCTTCATTATTCTCTGCTTGTTCCATTATTCCATGAACTTCAGTCTCTGTTTCCGTTTTGTAAGTCTATATTGACTATTTTTTACTCTCTTACCGCAAGTCAAAATATAAAAATCTTTATCTCCGTTAATTGTACATGAAATTTAGCATGCGCGCAACGTTTTAATCAGAATTGCGCATTTACGGCAACACATTCAATGAGCACCTAAGAATTGGACATGTTCGCTTTATTGAACAGAAAGAACACTGTTATATATAAATCTATTAAGTATTCAATTAATCCTTACAGGACATCAGTAGACATCATACTAATAAATATTCGTTTTTACATTAAACAACTAAAAACAATAATTCTTCGAAAGTAAGATATAACTAACATAAAAATTCTGTTTTTTTATTTATGTAATAACGAAAAAAAAAAATTGAATAGCCTTCATCACTTGATAAACAACTCGATTTTTCATAATAAAATAAAAATCTTATGGACTTGCATAAAAAAGCTACAAACAAAAATATGAGATAAAAGGAAAATAAAGAAACTAAATGCTATCAAAATGAAAATATAAACATATATTCATTTATTCATTAGAAATTCCATATATTTAGCGCTCCCTTTTTATGAGCATTTTTAAAATCTTAATGTTTCATTTACATTCTGTAAACAAACAAACAAAAAAACTCAACAACAACAAAAAAAAATCTTCTTTTATCTTTCCTTTATATAAACTCTATGACTAATATAAAACCTCTGTGTTACAATTAAAAAACGCAAAGTATTTATGGTATGAAAAATTTTCAGTTATGCAAAAGTGCAGAGTAGATAAAGGAAAAATGAAAAGAAAAACCGTCTATTTGTACAAATATGGCAAAAAATTTAAATATTTCCACAGCGTTTAAAAATTAATGAAAGAACACAGATATTTTCATTTTAAAGTTTTTTAAAAAGCGTTTCAAATCTAACTGGCATAAAACTAAACCCGTTAAGATACAAATTCACTAATATATCATTTATTGAAAACCTAACCAAAAAAACATTTAACAAAGTTCTAAAAGTTTTACAACTTAACCACCATAGAAAGAGAAAATGAGAGGAGAAAATAATATTTAAAATGCAAGTGTTTTTAACGCTAAAATTTCATTGAAAAGTAAACAAAATAGGCAAATTTTCAAATAAAAAAACATCACATAATTGACATACCCGCTTGGTTTCTCGGTCGCTTAAACGAGACCTGAAGGGGTTTTCCTCGCTCGCAACAATAACCATTAAGATGAAGAATAGCCATGGTCGCATCTTCATAATGCGCCATATTAACAAATCCGAATCCTTTGCATTTTTTAGTGTTTTCATCATAAACAACTCTTGTACTTTGGATGGCTCCAAACTTTGAAAATAGTTGAAAAAGCGTTAGTTCTGAGGCATCAGAGGGTAAATTGTAAACAAATACGCACCATGATGGATTGTTTAATGAAGAGTTGGATGAATTGACAACTAAGTTGTTTCTTAACACTGAAGAATTAGGAGACAATGGAGAATTTATTGGTGATGTAGTAAGAGATGCACCACTTGAATTTATCGGAGATAATTGCGACAGACCCACCTGCCTCAAAAAGGCTGATCCAGCAAGACCTTTTGCTTGAGCCAAAATATCTAAGTACGGTTGAATTTTCTGAGACGGAGGATTAGCGAACTTTACAGTTAAGGGTTTTATAGCTCCGTTAATCTCAGGAATACGGTTATTTAACCCATTTATAGCCGCTTCAGCATCGTTGCGTTTATCAAAACGAACAAAACCGACGCCTCGGCTTTGTCCCGACTCTTCATACAGAACTTTTATAGTAATAATTGATCCGTAACTAGCAAATAGTTCTCGTAAATCATTTTCGTTGCAAGTTAAGGGCAAGCCGCTCACATAAAGATTAGCGTTTTTAATCTCAGTACAGCTTGGTCGTGCAACACTTACTTTAATAGTTTTATTTGTTAATTTCATTCCTTGTAATGATTCAATTGCTTTTCTAGCGTCTGCTGCATGCTGATAATTTACAAATGCGTAACCAAGACTTGCTCTAGTAACCTGTAATAAACCGTTTCTATGTTAAAAAATTATAATTAAATAAACTTGCACAATATAAAAGCAATTTAAAGAAAGTGTTAAACTACATTTTATTTATAAAAAGGATTAAGTCTTAAAATTAACTTAGTTACATTGGATTGAATGTAAAAAATAGTTTGAATAGTCTTAAAAATACGTTAAAAAGCTTAATTATTGAAAATATTTAAGATTTTCAACGTATATTTAACAAAAAAGTTTTTTAATTCGAATCAAGTTATTTTTCTCCTTTTTATAAAAAATATCTGGTTACAGAAGCAAATAAACATCAAAATACCGCAACACATATCAAATAACAATAAAATAACTGTACACAAAAGAATGTAAAACTAAACTCTACACAGTAAGCATTTGGTAAATTAGAATGCATTACCATTCGATTTAATAAATTCGCGTTAAAAATAAAACTGGAAAATTTTTTTTGTTTTTCGATCATTTTTTATCCATTAAAAGCTGATTTCAAATTCATTAAATACACGTCTTTAAACATAAATTTTAAACACGTCAAATAAGCAAATGTTTTGGAAAAATATATAGTTCTTTTAATATAAAAATTTAATGTAAACAGTTAGTTGCAATTAACTTTGGCATAAAAGAATATAAAATAGTACCTTATCACGAATAAGTTTACATGATTCTAAAGGTCCAACGGAAGAAAATAATGTTCGTAATTCTTCTTCAGTCATTTCTTGGGGTAAATAGTTTATGATCAAATTAGTGGGGTTTTCATCATCAGGGTCTTGTTCCAAATTCAAAGGATATCCGCTTAAATTTACATGAGCAAGTCCATTTATTACTCCGTTCATTAAATGATGATGACCATGCCCATTCATCATGTGTATGGTTGCCATTTTCAAAGGCTACACTTAAATATATAACTTAAACTTGTGTCTTAAAAAAGTGCCACTACATAAACTGTAAAGCACATAAAAGAAAACTTCAAAAAATAATTAACTTAAAATTAACGTAAAACTTTCGCGCGACTTCCTTTTTCAGAAGGAACTAAACATTTACAAAACTTAAGGATTTGATATAATTTATAATCATCGATTTGTTCCGCTCGCTTAAACAATGCAATTTTTAACTCATTGGTCAGTTACTCATTAATAATATGTTTTTATTGGTCAATATGGGTTCTATTGTGAAGGTATAAATACAGGTCATGTGTCACCACGACTTTTTTCTTTAAAGATAATCTATTATTTAAAGCGTCTAATTTAACTGTTTGGTTTTGATCAGCGGATTTAAATTATTTTATTTTTATAGTGCGGAAAGAAATTACTGTCATGGAAAATATTGCTTTAGGCTGAAGAGATAATTAAAAATATTTGCGGAAACAAATAATTAAAATTATTATTTTAAACTTACAACTTAATAATGTTAAAAGCGAAGTAAAATACATGAGAAAGAAGTTTCCGACGTCAACGAAAATTTCAAAACGACCGTAATAACAATAAAAAAACTCGAGGATTGAATTCTTTCATTGAGAACAAAAACACCAGCTGAAAAGCGTTCACATTTAACAAACAAAGAATCCCGCTACACCTGTTGCATTTTGCTCTTTTTTTTTTTTTATTACATCTGTCTCTTCACTTTTTTCTTATTATTTCTTACTTATAAAGTATTTTTTATAATTCCATACATATTTAAGTTTTTGCAATAACACTTTTGATTTTACTTGGAGTTCAATATAAAAGTTTTTGTTTGTTAATAATAATGTCAAATGCAAATGTTTTGCGAAAACCGCGATAGGTTCAGAGGCAATTCTACGAATAAAATGAGGGGGGGGGGGGTGAATCCTTATAAATTACTGACTGGAACACACTCCTCCCCCCCCCCTACACACCCTCGTTTTTAAGCGATTTGGACGTCTTTTGGACGTTTAGAAAACGTCTTTTCTAGGTCCTGTGCCCACTGAGACCGTTTTATTAAGGTGCTTTAGTTTTAGTAATCCTATCAACGTAAAAACCTTTGCAGTTGATATTTTTATTATTATACCAAGATTTAGCGTATTTACTTAAAAAAATACCTGTTTAAGTTTCCAAAATGCATTCCATTTTTAACTGTTCCACACGTTTTAGCTTTAGGGTAGAGCGGGGCAAAACGGGACAATTATACCTTTATATCTCAGCTAAAAAAAAACTTTTTTAATAAAACATTTTAAATTATTGTGCTTTATTATTGTAAAAAAAAAAAAATTTTAGATAGGTGCATTAAAAGTACCAAAATGCATCAGTAAGTTTACGAAAAACAAAATTTGCATATTTTCTTAAGCGATACAACGACAAAAAATTTATCTTGAGCTAATTTGCTTTATTTATAAAAAGTTTATATTTTTCAGACAGTATTTTTTATTCTTTTTTAGAATCTGGTTTTAAAAAAATATTTGGAATTGAACTTTTTGAATAGCTTTAATTTGAATAAAAAGAATTTTGTGGGGCATATCGGGACAACAAGTTATTTATATAATTGACTATATTAATTACATTTTGTTTGCAGTTTGATGACTTTATTTTTAATTTAAAATATTATTTTCTTTATCTAGAAAAGCAATGTTAGTAATGAATACAAAAGAATTGTTATTTTTATAACTTAACTTCGATAATTAATAGTGTTTAATCTAAACAACTATGGTAAGAAATTATATAAAAAGCATCAATCATCCAATGGAAAACAACTGCATTTCATCCAATGGGATGAAATGCAGTTTTAGCTGCGAATAAAATGGAACTTAGAATTCGAAAAGCTGCTAATGCATATGGCATATTGAAATTTGCTCTACATTGCTAATAAGCCAGCTCATCAAAAATGATATCAAATAGCTTCAAGATATTTTTTGTGTGATTTATGTAATTCATAATATGTTTTGTTTAATTTTAAATTTAGTAATAGTTACCCATTTAATAATATATACTAGTTTTACCCTATTTAAAATTTAGAATAATTTCTTAAGTTTGTTTGTTTAAGAGTATATTATAATAACACACATAAAGTTTTTTCATTTTAGTTGTTGTTTTTTTTTGTGGTGTATGGGCGTGTAATTTGTATGGGTATGTTACTTTTTTAGGATTCAATGTCTAAACAAGTTTAAATGATAAAATGCCTTCATTTTTTATCACTTTACCATTTTTATCACTTTAAATCTTCACCATTAACAAATAACTCCTGATTTTTCACTGTCCCGCTTTGCCCTACCCATTTGCAAAATATAGATGTTTTATATATAATTATAGAATTTTTTTTGTTGTTTTTCCGTTTTCTTATATCAATGGTTTTTAGGAAACTTATAAAAAGTATATGATTAGTTTGTCTGGAACTAGCATTTGTTTCTTAAGTGTCCCAATATGCGCCGCTCTACCCTACTGGGAGGCACTACTGAGTTTAATCTTGACTATTGTGCCCCTCCACTTAGAAACTCGTGTCTTCAGCCCTGCCAACCCAAAGTGGCGTTTGCGGTCAATGTTTTTTTTAGCGCCTATAACCATGAAATTCGGCAATTTCAATGTTTATATAAGCATCTGTTGAAGAGTAGGAGTGTATAAATTGCAAAACTTCAATTCGATTTACACTTTCCAAATTAAGGATGGCTCTTTTACTTACTTTATAATTTAAGTATTTTTACTTTCAAAAGTAAGTTATGTAAAAAAAAGATTACATTAAAAAGTAATTTACTTTTACATGTAAAAGTAAGTCACATGAAAAAGCTGTTTACTTTTACATTTAAAAGTTAATTACTTTTGAAAATTACATTACATAATATAAAAGTTCCTCAAACTATAATTTACATTTACCTATAAAAGTAACTAATTAAAAAAAAATTATAATAAAAAACAACAACTTGCATATGAAAATAAATTGCATAAAAGTAATATGCTACCAAACGTAAATTAAAATTACAAATAAAATAATATTTTTATTTGAAAAATAATAATAAATCTTTATTAAAATAAATTATATAAAACAAAATTTAAATTACATAAGCTTACATTTTATATAATTTGTAAAGTAAATTAAAAGTAATTTATACAAAGTAAGTAAATTTACTTATATTCTACAATAACTTTGACAGAATCTTGTACAACAGTAATGCAAAAAAGTAGAGTCTAGAATTCAGACAAAGCTAAAACATGAGAAGGCCAATATACCCATGTGAGACTCAGAAAGTGTAGACTATTTGAAAGGCATAATTGGCATAATTTTCAGTTCTTTTTACAAGTTTTTTGTGTAAAAGTTTTTAATATTAAAAAACTAAAGAGAGAAAGTTTTAAGTCCTGGATTATGGAGGTCTCAACCCTATGTCCCGCAGATTTAGGAGCTCCGAAATTTCTAAGACCATGTTTTTTTTTTGTAAGGTTTTTACGCCACTTTAATAAGAAAAAAGCCACCAAAATTATTCCCAGACCCTGCAGTTCTTAATTCGGCACTGGTTTTAAGAACTATGGTATTTTATGGGCGTGAAAAATGTAAAACTATTTATGTAAATACCTTTATCAGCAACATTTACAGTCTTTCAAGCAACTAGACTCAGGGCCGCGAGGTTTAAGAGCCATGCATTTAAAGAGTTTTTTTTTTTTTTTAAGTTTTTGTTCAAGAGAAACAGAAATTGGGAACCTGGACCAGTAAGCCTACCCAGTGGGCACCCGACGTCAATCCGACGTCGGATTTACGTTTGATTTTCATCAGCGATGTCAAAAGACCTATTCCGACGTTGTTCCGATGTCAGTAAAATGACGTCGGGCGATGTCTTTATCTCAACATCCCCTGACGTCGTTTCGATGTATTTTGACGTTGTTCCGACATCTTATAAAAGACGTCCAAAAAACGTCGCAGTACTGACATCGATCCAACGTCGATAAAAAGACGTCGGGCAACGTCATAATATTAACGTACTCCGATGTCTTTTGACGTCTTCTGACGTCAATCTAACGTCCTTAAAACGACGTCGGAACAACGTCGTAAGACATCGCTGATGAAAATTTAATCCAAACCCAACAATATGTGTGCAATTGCGCTCTTCAATAATTATGTGAACTAAGCGTGTTTTTTTATTAATGGAAAAAAGTTTGAATAAAGGTTGATAAAACATCATGAGGTTTTGTATGATGCACTAGCATAGTTTTTTAACTATTAACATTTTCGAGTATACATTTTTTATAATATATAACTATTCGTTTTAATATTTATATAATATTTAAACAAAATTATTTCTTATCAAAGTAATAATTCCCAAATAGCTACAAGTATAAATTACTAAATAAACTTAATAATTAATATGTCCTTGTGGTGTAGTGGTAAGCGCATAGGATGTAGAAACTAATAGGCCGAGGTTCGAATCCTGTCAAAGGCAGCGTTTTTTAGTTTTCAAAAAACATCGGAATGCCGACGTCGCGCGATGTCAGTTTATCCGACGTCAAATAACATTTCCATTTCCAACGTAAACCCAACGTCGATCCGACGTCGAGATCCGACGTCGCTCGACGTTCGTTCGACGTCGAAATGCCCACTGGGTACTGACCAAAAATATTTTGCTACGTCACTGTGTTATATATGTATAACCTGAGATGTAGCTAAGCAATGATTTATAAGTAGATTAAGAAATAAAACTTGTGGGGATTGGGGCCTGGAAAAAAAATACCCTAAAACATTTACCATCCCTACCCCAAAATTTACGCAAGTAGTCGTCATTATATTATTGGTTATTAAAAAGTCTTTAATTAAGTAATATGGTTTTTAATAACACATTAAATACCTCATTTGTACGTAACTATTAATAATACTATTAGTTAAAGTTGCTGTTGGTTAAGTAATTCTAATCGGTTTGGTAGGAATCGCCGCATTTTTACATTATGAAAACTTTTTACATTGCTTTTGACGTGGTATAATACCAAGCAATACTTGTATTTAAATCAATTTAAAATTAAATCTTGTATTTTGTTTAACTTATATTTTCATGGATAATATTTTTTTAAACAATTTTATTTATATGTTAAAAAAATTAAATTATTCAAAGTTTCTGT